CAGCTCCCAAATGCTGCCTCAAATACCAGCCCTCTTATGAAGCTTTTCCCTGTCCATCCAGCCCACACCACGTGGCCCCTTCATACCCCATCAAGGGAATGGACCAAGGCTCAAAGCTGGGACTTCTGGTTCCTAGAACAGGGTTCTTCCCAATATGTGGCCTCAGGGGACAGTGGGAGGAACTCAGGTGTGTCCATTACTCAGGTATGGGTGCTGATCACGGCGCCGCCAACTGCTCCCTAGCACGGTAGCCACCTGACCTCTTGTGCCTCCGTTTCCATCTGTAGAATGGGATAACCGTCCTCCTGGCGGTTCACATGTGCAGTGTTCCTTGAGGGCCTGTTGTGAGCCACCCAATGTTTAGAGTGTCCACTGTGCAGGCTTCAGTGTGGCACATCTGTAGCTCCACATACCTTCCTAAGACCTACTTTTGCTTAGGGACACATGTGACCCTGATACCTTCCTAGAGGGAGGCCTTCTCTGTCCTCTGTGACTCCTTGGGATGCTAGAGCCACAGCCCCCAGACTTTGTCCCTAAGACTTCCTGAGTTGGGTCTGGGCTGAGCCCCTCAGCCCCTTGTTCACCTCCTGTCACATCCAGGCCTGTAAACAGGACCAGCAATACCCCCAGGCTGGCCAGAGACAAGCCAGGCTGCAGGCCTGTCTCACTCTCCTGTGGAACACCCTGTCAGATGGCATACTGAGTCCCTGTATGTCTTTCCAGTGACTTCTTCCCAGATGAAACTCTAGCACCTTCCGCCAGGTGCCTGCAGGTGTGGGTGGGGAAGGGGACCTGACTGTACCACAGGTGTGCTGAAGGGTCACCCCACTGTCCCGTCCCCCAGAGAAGCTGCTGGGTCTCTTCCTTATGGGTCACCACCCCCAGTAGACATCTAGCCTTCCTCTGAGACTCGGCAGTCATGAAACACAGCCTTTAGCCCCGTCTCCCTTCCCTTTTACTCCATGGTGCCAGGCTCCTCCCTCCCATGAGAGCATCCCTCTTGGATCCTCATGGTACCTGTTACTTTAGAACAGGCATCCTCTACCCCCTCGCCCAGCCTTCCTGGCATGAAGTGAAACACAGCCTTTAGCCCCGTCTCCCTTCCCTTTTACTCCATGGTGCCAGGCTCCTCCCTCCCATGAGAGCATCCCTCTTGGATCCTTATGGTACCTGTTACTTTAGAACAGGCATCCTCTACCCCCTCGCCCAGCCTTCCTGGCATGAATCTCTAGGGCCCCTCGGAGCCACAGGAAAGCCACTTCCCCCAGAGCAGCCAGGCCCAGGCATCTGGGTGTCTGCCGCTCAGTCCTCACCACATGCCGACTTCCCTCTGCCCCACCTGCACCTCCAGTGCCCAAAATGCCTCTCGGGCTCCCTGCAACCTCACAGCCCCTTCTCCGCCCTCACAGGAATTCTGTCCAGGTTTTGAGCAAAGGGGTGTGAGCTCAGAGACTCAGTTTCTCCCCCACACCCCATGCACTCTTGGCTACACAGTTTGGCATGTGTAGTCACAGAAGGACCACAGCACAGGGCCCGTGCCAGCTCACAGCCACTCACAGGCAATGCGGGGCTGGTGTCTGTGACTCCCTGCACACAGCAGGAGGCTTGTGCCTTTGGAGAAAGGAGGCTACCTGGGCATCCTGTCATTTAGATTTCTCAATGGTCTTGCAAGCTGGGTATTATCTCCCCTTGATAGATGAGGAAATGCCTCAGAGAGTGAAGCAATTTGCCCAGCCACTTTGGAGCTGGAATGTGACTTCAGAGCCCCAGACACCAGCACTCCTCAGATCCTCTGCCCCTCATCCTGCCCCCAGTCCTCGGTGGGGTCAGGAGTCTCTGTCTTGGCCCAGAGAGGGCTGAGGCCTGGCATGGGGGCAGCCGCTGCAGGCGTCCATTCCTGGGCTACCCAGTGCCCACTCTGGTTCTCCAGACAGGCCCAAGCCCCTAGACACTAGGCCTCTTGTCCCATAGAACCTGCCTGCCCGGCCCACTGACACCTCAGCACAGTGGTCTCCCCTCTCTCCCTTCCCCCAGAAGCCACCCAACAAGAGATACACCCATCCTTTTATCCCCCCTCCCAGATCACTCCTCCCAGCCCCTCGCTGGGGCTCCTCTCCCCAACTCTGCATCCTGGGGCCACCACCCTGTGGTGTACACAGGGCCCATAGGCCCCAGGATCAGTGCTCTGTCCGTGTGGCGGTGCCTGTGGCGGTGCCTGTGGCTCTCCCACAGGACAAGCTGTGGGGCAGGAGGGCTCTTTCTTGGAAGCCGCCATGCAGGGCCTGCACCCTCCCTGCAGGGGGGGCATTCCTGCAGGACCCATCCCAGCAGATGGGCCTGGCCTCTCCGTCCTCAGAAACTGTTCCTCACTGAGGATGCAGACCTGGACCACGGGGGATGGGAGGAAGCTTCTGCTTTCTGACCATGAGCGTCAGGCCTCTGCAGCAGTACCACATACAAAGTGCTCACTGTGTTCAGAGCCCAGAGGTTTGCTGAAAACCTGCAACTTCCCATGCCTCTTCCTTGCAGCTTGGAGGGAGGGGGATGGAAATAGGGACACATGGGATCACAGGCAGGTGAACATTCCCGCCCCCTCAGTTTGCTTTACTATGAGCTGAGAATTCTCAGTTCTGCTGCAAGGTAGAAGTTCAAGGATAGTGACATCTGGTTTAGAAAGTGCCCTGGAGGGCATCGAGTCCATGGCTTTCTAAGCCTCCTTCCCATCTGCCATGGATGCCACAGAGACACAGACCACCCAGAGCCACGGGTGCCACTGCTGAGCCCTGGAGGCAGGAGCCTGGCACATGCAGCAGACGACCTGGTCTGGTTGTTCTGGGCTTTGCTGTGCGGCTGTGAACCACAGAGGACCCAGGAGAACTTGGGTCCTGCAGCTTTGCTTGCATCCAGCCTCCCCGTTTTTACTCACTTATTGGCCCCACCGAGAACTAGAGAGGGATGAAGTGGCTGTGATGGAAACGTCTGGAGTTTCCAATTAACAACTGGTATGGGAGTTACTGAGCCTCACTCTCCTCATCTGCCAAACAGCTCATAACTCCCCCTTCCCAGGGTTACTGTGGGGACCCACAGCTATCATCAGCAGTTGTAAAGGGCTGTCCGTGGAGAGGGCCGCACGAGGGCGTGGAAGAAGACCCTCACAAAGCCTGGGCCTTTCCCCTCCTCCAGCCCAAGCCCTGTGCAGGCAGCAGACAGTCCCTCCCACGCCCAGCAGCACAGTCCCTGGCTCTCTAGATTCCATCTCCTTGAGGGCAGGGCCTAGGACAAATCCCTCTCTGTCCCCTGGGGCACAGCACTGAGCCGTGTCAAGGACTGGCATTTGGTAAACATCTTGGCTAAATGAATTAAGTAGTTCATTTCAGGGGCTCATTAAGACTCATGGCTAAGTAGACTGCAGGGAGGCAAAACTTTACCTCTTCCCATTTCAGCAAGGCCTGAGAATTAAATGACATAAGACAGATTAAATGCCATAAGGAGAAAAGCATGCACATTTATTTAATACCAGTTATACATGGCACGGGAACCCTCATATGGAAGGAAGGAAGACCTGAGGGAGAATGAAGTGTCACTCACTCACATTCTGAGCTGGACAAAGAGCAGGAAGTAGTGAAATGTGACCAGGCAGAGGGCTTGGGCCGGGGCGGTTACTCAGAAGTGACCAGGACGATAAGGGCTAGCTTAATAAGGTCTGTTTGTGTGGACTTCCTTCGGCTTCAACTTCCCATCCTTGATGAAGAGAATGTCACTTTCCTTCTGGTGTACGGAGAGTGTCTTTCACGTGGGAATTTCATCTCCCGCTTTTAAGAAACAGAATGAAGGTCGGAATGATGCTTAATAAGGTCTGTTTGTGTGGACTTCCTTCGGCTTCAACTTCCCATCCTTGATGAAGAGAATGTCACTTTCCTTCTGGTATACGGAGGGTGTCTTTCACGTGGGAATTTCATCTCCCGCTTTTAAGAAACAGAATGAAGGTCGGAATGATCTTATTACACCTGCTGGTTTTTTAACTGTGTTTAATTCATAATAGTCAGCATGCCAGAGCAGCATATTTTGGGGTGGCATATTATTAACTCCTGCAGAACAAAGGCTCAGGAGAGCACAGACGGGCTGACTTGCCTGCTGTCTTTCTCAGGTGGACTCATACGACGTGACCGTGGATGAAGAACTGGGCGAGATCCAGCTGGTCAGAATCGAGAAGCGCAGGTACTGGCTGCACGACGACTGGTACCTGAAGTACATCACGCTGAAGACGCCCAGCGGGGACTACATCGAGTTCCCCTGCTACCGCTGGATCACAGGCGAGGGCGAGATTGTCCTGAGGGACGGACGTGGTGAGTGCTCAGGCCCCTTCCACCCCTAAGCTTCCTGGGAACCAAAAGGTCTTCCCCTCCTCAAAGAACTGGATTTGTGGGAGGAGTAACATCGCCTCCCGGGTACAGCACCTGCCCTGAGCCTCTGGCACTGCAGGAGGTGTGGTCTTCTTCGAGCACT